TTTTTATTAATTGGACTTGGAATTAATTGGAATTAACTTTTTATTTAATTGAAAGAAAATTGTAAGAGTAAAGAACTCCAGTAAAATGTCGACTGGTATGTTAACATTCTTGTGTACTAAGTTAGATGATTAAATTGCGATTATTTATTAGTTTATTTTCTCTTGTTTATCTATTTATAAATCTTCAGAAATAGAAACGAGCTTACTGGTGATTGTGCTGGATGTCAATCCGATGCAACGATTAGTAAAGCAAGATATAAAGATATTGTCGCATTGGGTGGACTCTACAATCGTATTTGCCAACGCTCATCTCATGCAGTCATCTAATAATGAACTGGCGATAATGGCGTGCCACGGTCACTGCGCTAAATTTCTCTATCCCTGTGAGAACGTATCCGAAATAAGACAGATAGATGGCCAATATGAGAAATTTACCATGGTAGAGCGAACAGTGCGCCAACAATTGCAGCAGGTCATTAATGAGATCCCAATGGATGTTCCATTGAACACAGAGAGTCTCATCTCTGGTGCACTTAGTATGGCATTGTGTTATATTACCCGGTTGGAACGAGAGAAGGTTGCAGGTCAAAAATTATATCCTAGGATATTAGTGATTACTGCCAGTAATGACTCAGCCACACAGTACATGAACTACATGAACATATTCTTCACTGCACAAAGAATGGTTTCTTTCCATTTTTTTTTAAATATTTTTTACAATAGTAGAATTAATTTATAATACAAAGGCTACTTTCAGAATGTCATTTTGGATGTATGTAGTCTAGACCAGGAACTGACACTTTTGCAACAAGGTTGTGACATCACTGGTGGCAATTATTTAAAAGTACCACAGCTTGCTGGATTACTGCAGTATTTACTGGTAAATTGTTCATGCTTCATTTAATATTCAATTCATATAAATGTGAAATATACCATGATTCAAATCTTTTCTTTTCAAATTTAGTGGGTTTTCTTGCCAGACCCCAATGTCAGATCGAAATTAGTTCTTCCTCCGCCAGTTAAAGTGGACTATAGGGCAGCATGCTTTTGTCATCAAGAACTTATTGATATCGGATATGTTTGTTCCATATGTCTGTCAAGTAAATATGAAGTCACATTAATAATGTTAAAAATATTTTAATTATTATTAAATGAAAAAGAACATTTAAAGAATATCAAATATTGTTAAATCTATTCATATTAAAATATTCATTATCTTTTTTAGTCTTCTGCAAATTCAGTCCGATATGCACTACTTGTCAGTAAGTATTTTTTTATAACATAAACTTAACATCGATTATTAAATACATTAAAATTATATATATTTAATGTATATTTTATTGATTATTATGAATTATTGAAATTTTTTTTTAAGAACGGTATTCAAGAGGCCAGAACCTGCACCAATGAAGATGAAGAAGAGGAAAAAGAATGTAGATATCGTCCATTAATCCTGTATATTTTACACATAGCAATTACATTTTGTAAATAAAAGCAATTTTATACTGTAGAAACTATTTTTAGATTGATGATTCCCTAATTATAACCATTAATGTGATTAATTACAGGCAATGAATACTGAAGATAAAAGATAATCATTTTATAAACACCTACTAAATGCACTAAATAAAATCAAACTCATGTTGCAATGCATAATTTGATTTTTTCGTTTGTGATTCATGTCTGGACTGATTGCTATGGTATGGTTCGATTGTGCGTGGATGAATGTTGTTGTGGAACATAACCGATACGCTCCTGAATCTCGTTCTGGGGAATCTTGCCACCCCATGCTGGAGGATTCATGGACGATGATGCTTTTTTTTCGGGATCTTTTTTAGCCTCATGTGCTTTCCTTATTTCCTCATACACTTGTAAATCATCCAGACGCATTTCTATGCGCGTTGGACTTCGTCGTATCATTATGCTGCAAAATAAAATGGGATATTTTTTTTTTAATATATGACGAATCTTTCCAAAATTTAATTAAATGGAAATTTGAAAATTTTCACGAGTACGCAACTTTTGAAACGTGTCATATACTTTTATTTGTATCAATATAGATTAACTTTAATTTTGGTTTAATTCACCTTTTTTAGTTCGAAGACTTAAGAATTTAATTAAATTTTAATTTAAAATCGAGACTAAAGTTAATCTAGATAGGAGAAATAGAAATGTTTAAGAATTGATCCAAAGGCGAGTTTAATGAAAAATATAAATGAGCAAATTGAAAATAATTCTGGATGTCTTTTTATAAAAATATAAAAAGAAAAAGATTTTTCTCTAAATTCCCAGGTTTTTTTTTTTTAATTTAATCGTAAGCATTCCAAAATTAAGCGCGCAAATCGATAATCGAAGATTTTTCGAATATTCGATTTTGGATTTAAATCGAAAACGAGTGAGAAGCCACATTGAGAATCTGATATTCTTTTTCGTCGATCAGGCACCAAGCTTTTCAAACTACGTCCCTAGCCCTCGTGCAACATGGCGAGATACATGACGATGCTTGAAATAATCCCAGATCAAACTGCTTCGTCTGAATCGCGTCGTTTCTCGGCGAACCCCGTCGTAGTCGGGGGTCGCACTTTCCCCGGAAATTCCGAACAAACACCCTGGCCGGCGAGCTCGAGAGCGCCGAAAGCGTGCTAAAAGCATCCAGGAAATGCGGAAGCAGAGGGGTCGGACGCACGCGGACACGTTCTCGGTCGGGCGGCGCGTTTCGCTGCTGACTCGAGCGGAATTCTGCGGCTATCCGACGCCGTGCGGCGGACACTAGTCAACAGTACCAATCGCGGACGATCGGCGGCACGGGAAGATGCTCTACCTCGAAGATTACGTCGAAAGTGCGTACGGGAAACGGCGCGCACGGCTTGCCCGCGGAATCCTAACCTCTCCTCTCGTGGCGCGCGGCTAACCTAAAACCCCGCGCTAAAAACCTCGACGATGCCCGTGCGGGCCCACGGCGAACGCGGCCATTTTTGTTTATGTTCCGCGGGCCGCGACTCGCGCCTCCTTTTGCTCGCCGATCGCGACTCGTCCCGATGGACGAAATTGGATTTGCCTGTCGCGATGCGACCTCGCGTCGAGAGGTTAGGCGCGATGTTCGTCCTCGCGGCGAGATGCACGCTATCGTTTTTTTAAAGATGTTAATAAACGATCATTTAATCTCTCGAGCTACCGATTGAACTTTATTATTCATTATCTTGTCACAGAATTAATTAACAATTTATTAAAGGTGTCTTTCCTCTTCTAGGATTGTACAATTTACATAATAACAATGTATTTTTTACACAGTATAAGAATAAATGGTATTTATAAAATCTAAATAAAATGTTACAATAAGAAATACTGATTTTGCTACAAATTTAATATTTGTTTACGAATCAATAAAATTTAAAATAATTTAATATTTAGTATTTAAATCTCATAATATTAAGTATATAGATTATTAGAAATAAAGTATAAATCAGTAATTCATGAAACTAATAAATAACTGATTTAGAAATTATTACATTGTATTGAAATTTGAAAATTAGTAATGATTGCTGACATCTGTCTTATGATTTAGTGATCGAGCATCTTCCACAAGAGCTGAGGGATCGATTTACCGAAATGAGAGAGATGGATCTAGGAGTACAAAGTATGTTTATTTGATATAACCAAGTTAAAAAGAAATATTAAAATAATAATAATAAGTAATATGAAACTAACGACGAATTTGTTTTTAGATTCTATGGATAGTCTGGAGAAGAAAGTAAAGACATTTTTTTGCAATGCTAAGAAAATGAAACCCAGTGAAAAGGAAGCAGAATATGATGCTATTAGAAAAGAATACTATAAGACCTTGGAAGATGCTGATGAAAAGGTACATCTAGCTAATCAGATGTATGACTTGGTAGATAGGTATCTGAGGAGACTCGATCAGGAATTACATAAATTCAAAATGGAACTGGAAGCAGATAATAAAGGTATCACTGAGATTCTGGAGAAAAGGTCTCTGGAGTTGGATCAGCCGGCCACAAATAGCAGCCAAAAAGAAAATCGTTACAGTTTTACTCCTAGCAGAACGCGGGATAATCACAGCCATTGTAAGTATAATATTTCTAATGATACAAATAATAATAATTATGTTAATGTAAGCATTAACATTCTTTGAAGATAGTTTCAGAATTATTCTTAAATCATTCTTGAATCATTCTTAAAAATTTATTGATCAATAAATTATTTTAAATAAGATAAAATTAAATAGTAAACTCTGGATAAATATAGTTTCTAAATTTTATGAATTTCAGCTCGGTCAGAAAAGCGACGAGACTCCAATGCATCTTCTACGTCAGTCGAAAAGAGACTAGCGATCGAGAAATTGCCCGCAACCACAAATCTGTCAGAATCACAACCGGCGTCAGCGAATTCTACACCTGTTATCGCAGCGAGCAGTGTCGCACCAACACCGACAGCGATTGCTAATTCTGTAGGATCAGTGTGCTATAATCTCGGCCACATCGGCGCCGGTGGTAATGCTATTGCAGCAGCTGCATCACAAGCGATCGCGGCCACGCAATCAATGCAACAGGGTAGACGCTCAGCCAGTCTAAAAGCGAGTTATGAGGCCATCAATACCGGCGGTGTACACGCCGCAGAATTTAGTAGAGAGCTGGCTGGCGCGGCGCAAACGGCCATCGCCGCTATTCAGGAAACCACAAAAAAGCATAAAAAGTATGTAAGACGTATAAAAAGAAAAAGCAAATTGAATTGCTTTTTACATATAAAATTCTACGAAAATTTTAATAATTCAGAAATCAGTTAATAAATAATTCGATAAGTAGAAATAATTAGAAAAAATATTTTATATCAAAAAATTATATTTAGATTATTGCGAATTTTTTTTTAGTTTGTAATTAAATGCAATTGGATACTTTGATTTTAGAATTTCTTTTACATTTATGAAATATTTTATAATTTTTCATTTTATTTCATGAAAGAATTTTCTACTTAGCTGAGATAAATCGAAGACCAATAGATTTTATTGAAGGTGAATCAGAACTGGTGTCTGGATTTAATATTGAGTATTTTAGAGGAAGATTTTGCATTAATTTTTATAGCAGAGTAGGGATAATTATTTTTTTTATGTTCATTAATATTTACTAATTTAGAAGATATTTTTATATTTGTTTTTATTGGTTTTATAATAAGCTTAATTATTTTTATACGAGGGTTATTATCCCGAATACGATATGATATATTTACGTTGAAAAATTATTTTACCATTAGTTATATGTGTGCATAGTAATTATGCTCAAAGAATATTATTATTTGGAATTCTAGAAAAGTGGCAGCTGCCGTGCCGAGTTCGAGCGTGATCGCAGCCACGGTCCAGCAACCTGTGTCACCACCAGTGGTAACCACAACCACGCAAGTAGTGGATGCAGACAATCTGGATTGGACATGCGATCCAAATGAACCACGTTATTGCACGTGCAATCAAGTATCGTACGGCGACATGGTTGCTTGCGATAATTCAGACGTAAGAATCATCAATATCTTCAAAATACATTCAAGATAGATAGAAACATTTATAATGAATACTTTTAGTGCCCCTTCGAATGGTTCCATTATCCATGTGTGGGCATCACTGCACCGCCTAAAGGAAAATGGTACTGTCCTCGATGCACATCCGCAATGAAAAGACGCGGTGGACGGAAGAACTGATTAGGCGAGACAAAGGAAGAAAAGCTATGGAATCACGTTGACCACATTAAGAAAACATTGCTGTTACTACCTCTTAGACATTGTCCGTCGAGTACCGACTTAGTTAGGAAGCCGTCATTAGCTATGATTTTGTATAACTTTTTTAATGTGCTGTTTTGAATCTGCGTTGTCGTTATTTTGATTTTTGGTTTTTTCCTTTTCACGATCGATCAAGTATATACATAGAAACGAAGTATATACATAGAACGACAATGTTATTCTACGAAGGTATTGAAGTACATTTAAAGAACATACATCAAATTGAAAAATTTCACAAACATCTCAATGTATTTCACGTATTACTGTCACTTCTGTGTAACAAAGAAGAAGTGAATGGAAATGGATAAGATAATTCGAAAAATCGGATTTTCTTTGATGGGTTCGGAAAATCGAGTGCTTCTCGAAAACTTAGATTTAGATTTTATCTATTTAATAAAGAGAACATTGTCCAACAAATTAGATTGTAAATAAGTAAGAAAACTCCATTTTTTAAATAATTTTAGATGAGCTTTAGTTTAATAAAAACTTAATTTGTGTAAAATTGGAATCTTAAACGTTGAAAATGAAAACTTTTTCGATAAAACAAATAAATCGAATGTTAATCTCGAATTCATCTAAAAATAGCGATTTATTTTGAAGCCATTTTATATAAATATTTCTGAGAAATTAATTTCGAAAACGGCATTGTAATGAATTGGTGTAAATATAAAGTTATCCGTGCAGTAAGACTGACGTCGCCAGAATTATTATTCACATTCTTTCAAATTTGTCATCATTTTCATATCCATAAGCACAATTCGATCTATTCTTTAATTTTCCTAATCTAATCTTAATTTTCCTTTCTTTGTTATAAAATGATTATATCTAGTTTGACGTCTAGTTTGATATTTTATTTCGCGCATAAAAATATCAACTTAAAATTTATTTATAATTAAATTTTCTGATCCCTCTTAGACGCTTATTATGTTATGAAGACAGTCAATTAACTTCAGTCCTTTTACGTTCATGTACTATTGCAGCAAAAATGAAAAAAAAAATATGAAAAAATAAAAATAATTTCTACTAATTCCTCTGCTTATATATCCATCAATTGCGCGTTTATGATTTTAAGCTATCAAAAAACTCAAATTTACGATATAAATTTTATTAATACCGTGTGAGCGATTTATTATTCTAATGAATTTTCGAAGAGTTTCGATGCAATCTTTCTGATGTCACGATCGTGTATCTATTTTCACGTTTGTATTTATATTTTTATTTTTTATTCGAAAAAATCAGCTGCAAGATATAAAGCTTGTTAATATGCGTGAAAAAACAATAAATCGAAGAAATAGTATATACAACAACCTAATCCAAGCATTTCATCTAAATCTTGAGAATTAAAAAACAAAATTGTAATAAAATTATGTATAAATAAAGTAAACCATGCAATGAAATGAATGTTCCTGCCAAGATTAACAATTACTGTTCTTTCAATTAGTCACTATTTGTACCTCAACAACTCGAGTTTAACTCGTTTTTAATTTGCTTCCGGGAATGAAAATACTAATTCAAAATTCATTTACGATTATTTTTAAATTTCTAATCTTCTTTGAATTTATTATATATTTATATTATATTATATGTTGAATATATTATATATTTATATTATATTATTCTTACACTTTTAAATCCATCTACAACATTTTTAATAATAGGCCTGTTCTTTTCGGTTGAACTTCTTACACAGTTCATCTTACTTCCTTTTTGTCCACGTTAGAGAAAAAAAAAAAAAGATAAACTCTACAAAAAATTCAGCTGAAAAGAACAAACCTCATGCCTATGGAATATATACCAAAGCAGCTGATTACGAAAATAAGATTGAATATATTTATAACGTTCGTTAACAATCAGTACATTTGTCACTTCAAGTTATTAAAAAAATTGTATCAATGATGTTATTAACACCGTTAATAATGGATGCAACGCGCGCTGTATATCATTTTTCTAACTGCGACTGCTTTTTATTTAAATGAAAATTCCGCGCATTAGAAGACGAAACTATAATAAATTGATGTATACGCAAAGGGAAATTGTGTGTATAATATATTTTTGCTGAGATAATCACATTTTTTTTCAACTGTCCGATATTTATATATCAACAAATCAAATTTATCTTGTCTTTGATATATCTCTCTTTTCTTCTTATAAAATTAGTAGATGCGATTTAACACACGTTTCATAAAATCATAAAATCTCACGAATAAAAATATCAATTCAAGATTTACTTACAAATGCTTCAAATTTTCCGATCCTTTTTTGAATGCTTCCCAGTTACAGTCGTTCTCGAAGACGGATCTCAGTAGTTTTTAAATGAGCTTACCGCTATACTGAATAATAAGATCAAGTAGATACCACAAAAACAGGAAGAAGATCATTGCGAATATTAAAGAAACGGTCACATCCAAAAGATCCATTTGTTATCAGTCGTGCGTTGTTTGTCGCTTTAAGTTAATAAAAAATTGATCAATGACACATGCACTATAAACGTGATTTATTATCGTGATTGATAATTCGTCTCGAATGAATTTAAGAAATCCTCAAAGAAGAAAGCGAACTGCCTCACATCAACGTTTCCTGAGATTGATGAATATCCCGAGGAAACCTATGTGTATGTGAAATGATATGTTTCTGCTTTCTTGTATATTTACATTCTCAGGAAACTCGAATGAGAGATTCGAATTTCTATCGAAGCGATAAATATAATTTCGTGTACTTTTATCTAAATAAATTTTAATCATAAATTTTCTGAAAATAAATTTGTAATAGTAAAATAAATCATAAAATAAGCCATAAATCAATGTTAGAAACCAATGCTACTGAAATAAACAATTTCTTTTAATTTGTCAAATTGATCTGCCTTTTTTATGTCTTTAATTATAGTCCAAACGTTTTTCATCTCATTTTTAATCCTATTTCATTTCTATTTTCCTATTATCGAATCATTAAATGCAATCAAAATAGATATTTTAAACTTTATTTCATACATATAAAAGAACAAATTAACTTACCAATCGCATGAATTGTTTATTTCTTCTCCAGAATTAATTCAGTTATTTTACTTGACTAAGAATTTAGATAATTTAGACGTATTTATTAAAACCATAACCAATAATTAGCAAAGAAATTGAAGATAAACATAAAAATAATAAGAACATCTAATGCGTCCATGTCATCATTTTCATCAATTTTATTGTCAATTATCGCCATTGTCATTATTATAGTCAATTATTGTTTTAAATTATCGAAAAATTCAAATTAACACTGTCAACAGCAATATTCTTTAGATGCATATAACGAAAGTTGAAAATTTTGTTTTCCGAATAAAAATATTAAATCAAAGTATACTTACGATCATTTAAAAATTTTTCCATTTTTTCCTTCTAGCTATCTTATCCGTGAAGATAATTATATTGGGTAATATGTAAATACAGAATATTTTTAAAAAGAAATCAAAGAGATATAAGAGACTAAATATAGTTATATAATTATATAAAACATTAAATTGAAAATATTAATTTTATTATCAGTTACATATCTACTGTTTTAAATTGACGAAAAATTCAGATTGTCGACAATAGCACTGTTCACAGTTAAGCTCATTAAGCGTACGACTGACTTATTATCGTGTCGACTTTTGTCCCAGAGGACGAATATGACCTATCTAGCGTCAATATTTTTCAAAAATCTCAATCTGTTTCAAGATGCATACCGATCGTGTTTTGAACTTACACCTACACTTCCATTATTTCTATACACACACACACACACACACACACACACACACACACACACACACAACA